TGAAGATGTTTTTGTTTCAGATCAACGCGTTGACCTATAAATTACGCTGTCTTCGGTACAGCTGAGTACCGGCTCAGTTGTGCCAACCTATTTCGGCTGTTTTTTCGTTTAACTATTATTATGATCGCCGATACCCTCAGCAAAATGTATTCGGCCATTTTGGCCTTACCATACATGTTAAATCATGTCTGATACAAATTTAACTCTTACTTATCGAATAGATTAGAATCCAACATTGGTATTCCCAAAGGCCACATCTACAGTAGTGTCACATAGCCATATTGACCATGCTTACATTTACATAGATACAAATAGATCTAACTATATAATAACGGTTCAGAGGCTATATACAACGACGAGATATCTTTTCTGATCATTCGTGCGCATATCTACGTGTTTGTTTTGTATCTAAAACTGCCAACCATTTTAGCTGTTTCGAACAAAACCGTTCAACTGGTAATAACGCTATGCCCCCATGACTGATGTAGCGTTATCAGCCAACGGAAATGGGTTGAGCGTACCCAACAGATCAGCGTATGTTTAGCTGTTTGTGTGCGTGCGCGGTCAAGTTCTTGCAACCCAGCAACGATCCCAGTGTAGACATAAAATCACACCAGAAGAATTTTTGTTATGTTTTTGTAAAACATACGCCATGATGCAACCAATAACGATTCCTAATTGCTTAACTTTACGGCAGCTGTTTACAACGTATTAGGCGCTCGTGTTCATGCACACCCTATGATTAATAATATATGTAATTATAAATGATTACTGCTTCTCCAGAAGCTGGTCGATGTAACAGTTTCATAATTTATTTCTGTACTAAATGTTTTTTTTTTCTTTTTTTTTTGGCGTTGATTTTATTAGTTATTGCTTAATGCAACGATGTGTTTCGGCAGTAAATCGGTTGCACTTCATACAGGACACAATACACAGAGTAAATTTCGATCTAACACACAAAATTACACACATCTATGCCTACGGCAACGTAATTCGCTCCGTATAGACCGCTGCTATCTTCAAATAGCAAATGGCGAGGAAAACAACAGCAATGACAAGAGCGATGACGAAGCTGACGATAGCAGGCGGGTGGCGAACACCTGGCGGAAGTGCGGCCATATTTACCATTAGATGAATTGCGCTAGAAACAGCTTCCATCATCAGGGAACGAGCTTCTATTTAGGAGGCCTGTTGCTAATTCCGGTGTTGGGACGTTCATGACGGTGGTCGACCGGTCGTGCTAGTTTACAGGGGCCACGGCAGTAAAGTCCGCTTCCCTCAATTTGCCGTCTACCCTGGTCGAGTTGTGGCTAGCGTGAGGACCGCGCGTATTTAATTAAACCTTTATTTATTTACATTGCTCCCGTAGTAGATTTTATTTTACCAACGGGTATCGATGTTAGCATGCTAGTGATGCTTGGATTTACTACGGCTGTCGGCTGCTGCAACACCAGGACACCAAATGAGCCCGTCTATATTATAGTCTGCTGCCTCTTATAATTGTTGTCGTCGCTCTTGAAGCTTAGCGAGACCGCAGCTAACGAGCGATTCAATCAATGACATTGCCTCTTCCTCACCACTGGGTTTCGTTTGGAGCGAAGCTAGTTAAAATGTGAGCTGTGACGAGCCGGCGACTCGTGTCCGCGTCTCGTTGCCAGCTCCAAATTCAAGGCCGCGCGCCGGAACACCCGTCTGTCGGGACTAGTCCATACGCCCGTCGGACGTACGCCTGTTGACGATGCTAACTGCACACGTGTAGAAGGTGGACACATGAATCGCAGCTGGAGGAGATGAACGGCAATTTTTGCGAGTAAGTTTGAACTGAATTGTCTATTTTTCTTTACGTTTCTAACTATCACTGATGAAGCCGATAGGTGGCAATCATCTTTGAAGCAGAAGTGGTTAATGCTCGTCATCGTCGTCGTCGTTGTTGTTGTGGTTGTTACGACGGTAGAGCTGGTGGCAGCGGCAGTCGATGGAGTTTAACCCGTTTAGGAAGGAGACAATATGTTGAAGAATCTACAACAGTTTTCAAACGAGAATCGCTAGCACAGACGCCAATAAAGGCTACAGTAGTAGCTAGCAGCTCGTTTAGATCACAATGAATTGTCTCGTGCTTCGTGAGGTACCGAGGTTTCGTGTGGGTCGACCAGAGGATCGGCCAAAGTGGTTCAATTGCGTGGGCTTTATGTAAGGGAGACTAACTTTGTGCCAAGTGAACGTAAAGCGAAATTTTCGCTAGGCTAATTCAGTTTTTTTGAATAAGGAATAAAGCTCACATTTTAGTAGTCTGGTGTGTAAAAACGACGACGTTTTTCATCTTCCTACGTACTCATGATATTTTCTTTGAAAAAAGGAAGTGCGGCTAAATGTATAGCCTGAACCGAGCGATATCATTAGTTTCCATGAAACGTTGAGCTCGAACAGCGATGAAGTATAGTTCATCCAAATAATGCTATCATACCTAAGGTAACACGAAGATAGAGAAGAATTCAATATGGAAAAATAGTTTTTAGTTTAAGGGAAAACATTGCCTTGCTCTGAACTTACCCCAATACATCTTATTATTTTATTATAACTTTTCATAGAAATTGGTTTAGTTTTCAACTTTAAACTTGGATTGAAGGGCTCATAGAGGCTGCAATATTGCTTTGTATTAAATACCAAAGAAGTGGGCTTTAGAATTTGAAGAAGAGGAAATTTTCAATGCTTAAAGATCCCATCGCTCATCGCGCCCCAGTGAACCAGTGAGACTGCTGCAAATTACAAGCTAGTATTGTTGAAGACCTTAAAAGTTGTGCGATAGTTATTATTTGCTACGACTAATGTCTGACCAAAAGAAATACAGATTTGCTAGCAAACCTTGTCATTATTAAGCATAAGCTACAGACAAAAAAGCTACAAAGAAGACGGTGATCCTTTGGGGAAAATCAAAAATCAAATGTAACGCTATGTCTCGTATTGTTTATCGTTTTTCTTTTTTTATCGCAATTTACATCGTTTGACTTCTAACCTAATATATTTACTGCCGTAGCTGTTCGACTTTTCAATAGGGGGGTTCTGCGTTTAATCTAGATTCTATATCGATGACAACAGCGCACTGATTTTAAGTTTAACGTCTGTTTGTTATAGGTGTGTATATATATATATATATATATATATATACACACCTATAAAATAAACAGTGTGCTATTGTCATAAAGAATCACGAAAAGAATTTTAGGTTCTATTTTGAGTATTTGCTGTCGAATGTGTCATACATACATACATACATACATCATTGTAACCCTTCCATGAGTTTGCCTGATCTTTGAGCAGGGGCCATGCTAATCTTCGCTGACAGCTTAACGGTAGATCTTTATAAAAACACCATTGAAACACAAAGTAGAGCGTTTTCTTTTGACAACGAAATGATATACTTTGCGTGTGTCGTCGGGTTGCCAGAACAACTAGTCACCTGTGATTAAAATGCGTGTATGATCTGTCGTTTTTAATATCGAAAAATATGTATATAGAAACCAATTTTGCAAAAAAAACAAAAGCGAATTTGCCTTTGACTGATGCTGGGCCGGCCCACAATGGAGTGAAAAAAAATTAATGCGCGTGCGCGCCTAAATTCAATACTATACATACAAGAACATTTATCTATTTCCATTAATAGTTCAGTCAGCACGAGACGCAGGAATTGACCACGAATATAAACACTATAAATATGAGATCGAATCCTACCAAGTGCAGTCTGCAGGGGTCATGGAGACATTCACCGCGTGGATCCCGCGCCTGCGATGACAAGACCCATCGCGTACACATATAGATATATATATATATATATATATATATATATATATAGAGAGAGAGAGAGAGAGAGAGAGAGAGAGAGAAATGCATAATGTGTTCCGAAGTTAAGCTGTGTGCGGGCTAATCTGTTGTTTTTGCTGCCGTCCGTGGATGCACATTTCCAGTGGTGCAGTTGCCTCCTACCGTAACTGCATAAGTAGTTGTTTCCGCCTCAGCTTTTGTAAAATGTCTGTTGTGTTCTTTATGATTTTCGGTAAAGGCGATCAATGAAACGAGCAGGGGTGGAATCTATTTTTTTTCTCTCTTTTTATACCCCTTGCGCGAAAGCGGTTGCGGATTTAGTAGACCTGTTAGCGACGAGCACACAGCGGGTGATTAACTTGCTTGTGTGCTGAATGCAGCCTGTATGTGTATATGTGCTTTAGCCTGACGCCATCGCAAATAGTAACGGAATTGTGACTTATGTGGTAAAATTGTGTTAGTCATTGCGGTCGGTTCCACCGATCCACAGCCCAGAGACTTGTCGACCGTCGTGCTGAGATGTCGCGTAAGGTGCAAGAAGTGGCAATGACGGGTATGACTAAACTGAACAGCTGAAGGCTGAAGCTAATTATAGCGGTAATGGAAGACGGTTTGGTGCTGGCCTAGCTCCGTTAGGTTCTGTGTCTGAAGCGCATCTTGTTGTAGTTCTCTCTGTGCTTTTGCACGCCACTGGCTAGTTAGCCTCTCTACCTTGCGTCTACCAGCCACCTCCTCCTGTGTCGACGTTCGTTGTCTCCTCCGATCATCACAACGAAAACTGCAACGACTATTGTTTGACGCATTGACTACTACCTAGTTACTTTGCATTATTCGTAAAGCCAGCAGCACCTCGCGTCGTCCTGCTTGTTTTACGCCCTAACGCTGTTTGCCGATAAGGCAGTGCGAATCTGCGCCATGCGGGGTCCATTCATCGTCTCGTGGACAAAGTGCCAGTGTAGCAAAGCAACGTTGTCTTGCCATTGTGAAGCGATTCGTTGTCTGGAACACCAGCTCTGACGCCTGCTACCCACCATCCGCAAGTCCTTTAGCTACCTGTTATACTAGTTGCTATTGCTGCTGTTACCATTTGGCACAAAGACGTTGGGAGAACACCGGCTGACGCCACTCTCTCCCAAATGGCAAGCCGCATTCACGTGGTACCCCTATAATACCCATTACAATCGCGTCGTGCGAGTCAGTTTAGGCCTGCCGGTACGTTCGGCGGGTAAAGTGCGACGCTCGTCGAGGTTTCCGTGCTAAAATCGTTTTACCTAAAGTACAAGTAACGAAAAAGAACGAAAGCGTGTATCACGTAAAGAACAGAGACAGTTAGTGGTAGAAAAGCGGTGAGAGATCTGTGCCGTGTCTGGATTATCAACACATTATCGTATAGGGGGTGCCAGTGATAGCGCTTGAACGATTCACGATGAAGCTCTTCATGATGGCGGCTCTTGCCGTCGCGAACTCGCTTAATGTGCACGACTTCCCCAAGACGGCATTTTCGTGCCGTGATAAAAACGCCGGAGAATACTACGCTGACCTTGAGCTCGGTTGCCAGGTCTATCACATCTGTGCCCTTGGGCAATTTAACCGGTTGACAAAAATGAGTTTCGCCTGCCCTAATGGCACGTTGTTCTCGCAAAGCTCAAGAATCTGTAACTCCGAGGACAAGGTGTACTGTCCACTAGCTGAACGCTATTACGACAACGTGCAGGGCACCATCGACACTCAGGATGACTACCGTTCCGTGTTCAAGGTCGACACTCAGCCGGTATTCCCACTAGAGCCGACTCGCAGACGGCGTCCCGCTATATCTGTGTCTGATGACGACTATGACGACGAAGGAACTACGGCCTCGCCGCGTCGCTCCTCAAATCGGCGCCAGCCCTTGCGCCCAACCACAACAACCACAACAACACCTGCTCCTCGCCCAAGACCACCCCAGCGTCAGTTTACTCCCCAGATTCCTCAGCCGGTTCAGTTCGAGCCGCAACCGCCGCAGGATTTCCGTCCTCCAGCTGGTGCATTCCTTCCTCCCCGGACCAATAGCCGGCCTTCATCACCTGTAGTTAGACCTCAGCTTGTCGTTACGCAGACGCCCGTTGAGTACGCTACCCCTCAGCGATCTGCTATTCCTCAGTTCGGCCCTGCACCTCCAGCACCGCCGCCGCCTTCTCCGGCTGGCCTCATTCCACGAGTCCCAGGAACCCTTCCGTCGACCCAACGACCCGAAAACCTCCAAACGCCAAACCGCTTGACACTGAACCGACCCAGCATTCGTCGACCCAGCCCATTTGGCGGCGCCCAGACCACGACGCCCACCCCGACGACGACGACGACAACCGTCGACCCGAACGCCGAATATGAATACTACGATTACGAAGAGAACACCGACGGACAGAATAACTCGCAGCAGTAACCATTGCAACGACACTTATTAGCTGTCGTACATCCGACGGTTATAGGCCAGCAGCTGCGTGTAGCGGAAAAACTACCAGTACAAATGTGGTATGGTGGTGACCATGATTAAGAAAAACGAATTGCAAAGACTCGCCGGTTTAGACTCGTTTGATCTAGTTCAATTTGCCACAAGATATAAACAAACGGATAGTGCAGTATTCTTACTAAATACTATTCAGTGGATCGGTCGACACATATTGCCTTATCACTATCAAGGGTGATATGAGAAGAACGCGCAATTTTACGCTGTAGCCGATGTCAGCCGATCGCTTGTGGGCAGGTTTGTGGATTCAGTGTTGTAGGTTAACCGAGACATGGTCACCCACACAAACAGCCTGGCCCATGGATGGGACTTTTGTTAGTGACCGTGTCGTGTCACCCCGTCGAAATTACGCACTTACGTTAAGAACGGAAGATATCTACTGAATTGTGCGCAGACTGTGTAAACGACGAAAGCGCCATATTGCTTCCATGTCTGACTAGGCAAAATTGGTTGTTAGAGATTAGTGAATAGAGAAACGGAGACGGAAGGCGGCGTGTGCGTGGCAAAATCCTTTACATACAGCGGTCATGTCCAACAACACGTTGGAGTGATATTAAAGCAAATACACCTATCCATCCTCGAGTTATACTCCTAGATAACCAGTTAATAACATGGGCTCGAGACCTTGAGGCCCCCTTGTAGGGAACATCGCAGATATTGTTTCATGGTATACTTTGATAAATTTTGGAGTTGATTCCGGTTAGCACACACGTCAATCAGCTAGAGTAGAATGACATAGGGGTGAAAACGAGTGAAGAAGAAGAAAGCTCCATCCGCTTACCTCTGTACACTAAGGGAAATAGAAAGACTATAACTCGAAGGGGCTTGTTAGGGAAAGTTTGCCACATGTGATGACATATGTTTGAGAGAAAACCCTTATAGTTAATTATGCATAATCGTGCACGATCTATACGTACAGGAGAAAATGAGTATCAATCGAGCACAGACGAATTCAAAGGAGTAATATCACACAGTAAGATTGCTTAGATATTATTATCATTATTAACTATCACTATTATCGTTGTGTAGTTCATCTAAGTCATATTCATTCTACAGAGGAAAAGACAAACCAGTCATCTGATCAAGCGGGAGGCCAAGGCGACCACGAGTAAGTTCGTCGGCCGAGGTTCTGCTGAAATCGTGTTTTAACTTATGAAGAGACATGAGTTTTTGGTTTTCGGCATAATGATGCAAGGTAACTAATATTACTCGTTTCGTTTGAGCGAAACGCACGAGCCCAACCCACATTGGGGGCGCTTGAACAGCTCAATCGGAGAACCTATTTCTGCGAGAGTTTTATAGACAGAGGAACTGCAATGTTTTAATACAGTTATATCCTGCGATGGTCCTACTTTCACTACCTCGCTAAACATCGCTCTATTTCGTTATGTTTAATTCACACATTTACGTCTATTAACTTGTTCGTTTTCAATTGATGTTCTCAATTTCATTGGCTTGTATTGCTAGACTTCCTTATCATGTCATCTTTTACTTTGTAAGTTATGCTGTCTACAGATCGCTGAATTGTGAGCAATGTGCCTATCGAGCTTTTTCTATCCAACAGCTTAAATACAGCTTCTAAATTGACCAGACGTCTGTATTCCATTACTTACTTTCCGTCTATCCACTTCCGATCAACGGAACATCTGCGTCGGTCAGTTTTTTCAAAACTCACAACAAACAACGTACGGCTGTTGTCGCACGCCGCATTATATCCGGTAGGCTAGTAAATTTAAATTATTAAGGCTTTGAATGAAGCATAAATTGAAGTTTGTGATAGCGCCGCGGACGAAATAAAGCAACGAAATTAAGGATGGGTACACTCTGTGGAGAACAGAGGGTACCGATGAAAATCACAGATGGAGAGAAGATGAGACCACATGTCACGGAAGTACATGAAGACGGCTGAGCGTCAGATGGAGAACAACTTGTTTAAAAAGATTTAAAAAAAAAAAAAACGAGCAGGACAAACCTGTAACACCTTGACGTATATTAGTTTACTTTGTACACACAAAGGTGCCATTTCTGGTTGTGAAGCAAAAAAAAAAGTACTTTGTTCATGATAATGATCACTTTTTCGTGACATTATTGCTACCTTTATTGTTATTGATACTGAGTAATATTATGAGTATTACTGTTGACTTACTGCAAAACTTTTGTTCAGTTTCCCGTTGACGCAGTTAACTGCTACTCGGATGAAGCAAGATGAAAATGCCCCGCTCATTGATAGTATATTACTGTGGCAGACGCAATCATACCCCGGATTGCATATAAACGGAAGGCTGTATTGTATAGTTAGTGACGGACCTATCTCTAGTTCGGATAATTTTGATTTTTTTCTGTTGTTGTTAATGATGATAATATAATTATATTATTACCGTTAAGTGATTAATTCTATTCCTATTGTTGTAATAATATGATTCTTGTTGCCTGGACTATAATGGCCTATTATGAATGTTATTGGCCATTGAGTGTCAACACATTGAATAAGAAGACTCAATAAAAAATTAATGCTGAAGACGGCAACCTTCAAGCTGAAGTAGTTGAAGGCAGCGCCGCTTCCCCCCCCCCCCCCGAGAAATAAAATTTGAGCGTTCTCCTTTCGTAGTTAGCCTCTGCTAGCGGAAAAGTGGTACACAAAGTCCTTGCCATTAACTCGTGTCCAATGTATTTATAATGTATCGATATTGAAGAATGTTCAACATAAAGTTCAGACGCTGTGATTTGCGGCCGTTGCGAAACGCAGGATCCGGTCTTGAGAAATTTTTTATCTTGTAAATTGTGTTGTAGTGACCGGTGGCTAACAAGGGCAAATATCATTATCTAGCTTACGAAACAGAGTCAATTACTGGCACGGTTGAATCTATGAGAGGTCTTTTTCTACGAGAAAAAAAATCACTTGACTACGTTCGGCACTCGCATCGAATGAAGAAATCAGTAATGCTATCGTGTGTTTTATTTGCTTCCTCCTTCTTCTTCGTGGCGAGCAACGCGTGAATGCCCATAGGGACGAAAGGTAAGCGACAAAAACGAATAGAAAAATGCTTCGGATACGTACTAATCAGGTAAACTAAATAATATAGAAATGTAAAGCTTTTTTTTAAAACAAAATGAAAAAAAAAACTGAATCAAAATAGAAAATGGTAGAAAATCCTACGTTGAGGTTTTTTGCTACGTAATAATCAAAAGTTGCACAGACATGCTTAATTAGAATGAACCTAAAACCTGGTGCCTTTCGATGAGTGGTCTCAACCTGCCAGAGGATCAATCAATATGCAGATCTATTCTAAATTTTTTGATAACGTTCTTCATCTATTCTTTCACTATTAGAAAGCGATAATCTCTTCTAGCGGGAGCAGCCGTTAGCGATCCGGCCATTTAGCTACATTTCAAATATGAACGCCCGTCTATTTTTTCGACCGTTATTAAAAAATTGACCGTTACATAATGTTCATTGCAATTGTTGGTTAAAAAAAAAAAGCCAGTTAAAGGTCGTCTGTGACTATTCACTAATAACACGTGACGCATCTTCATAATCATTGGTAGCCTACATAGCATTGATAAACTAATAATGATAAAGAATAGTCTGACAGAAGCCAAATTATCTAACAGAAGATTTTACAATTTTTCGGGATTCAGGTTCATCGAACGTTTCACGAAAAATATCATCGCCTTTATCGCAGCCTGCCGACGTATCAGTTCAATGATCACTCCCATCGTATCAGTCCCATCATCACTTCAATGTTAGGTACAGATAATGTAACCTGGCAGGTAGCCCGTATTCGAATTGGCTACTTGTCTTCAAATTATCCAGTATATAGTTTGGTTTCTTCTAGTGATTTGTTTGGCAGACATGTTTTTCCAAAATATGCTGCGTGTATATATATATATATATACACGACGGGTTGAACAAAATTAACAGTAGTCGACATCTGTCGCTTGACGACGCGATCATCTTCAGGTCATCTATAACTTCTTTCCATCGACGAAGTCAATCATCGAACGCTATCGAAATACCTAGCCATGGTTAAGACAACCAAAACCAACTAGTATTTAGGGTAACATGGCGCTATTGGAATTGATATGTGAAGTCGTATTTGTTGGCTGACATTCGAAATGAGCAGCACCAGCCTTACGAACGCTTGTATATCAGCGTATATAGAGTTTGTTAGCTTGTAGCCATCGTTTATGATTTTTATTACCATCTTTGATAGAGGCACGGAAAGGTTCGCATGTCCCCTGGACTAAAAGCCTGAATCTTTAAAGGTTCGCTTTAGAAGTCCCATGAACGATTCATATAATCGTCCCAGCATCGAGTGAGCAAAACTTTAACCTTTCCTTCGAGGCTTTTCGAGCTGAAGATCTTGAAATCGCAGCTTGGACTTTAGGGCTACGCCTGCGACACAGATAAGCATAGTCTTTTGTACTCCCTTTTTTTTTACCTCCTACTTTTTGTAAACTCGGTACATGTTTTATGGGACGTACCTGTCTGTTTCTTATTTGGTCGCTGACAGATAGAATTTGGCGCAGGAAGTCTTCAAGTCATTGATAAATAGGAAAGTAACTAAAGTTTGTGTACACCCTATTTTCATACGTCGTTCGGTACATGCATGTTCATATATAGACGTTGATTTTAAGACAGAACTGTACCTAATTACCGGCTGGATGGCAAGGATCAGTTAAAATATGTATATTTTTGCTTACGCTGGCAAGCCGCTTATCTAAATTGCGATCTCACACCCTTGCCCTCCACGTCCTTATGGGGTCTACATTTTCATATATAGAGGGTAATATTTTGTCTAGGTATGATGATGATGACAATAAGAATAATGCATATCTACTTCAAAAGGTAATAAAATCAAACCTTAAATACTTGTAAAGGCGCTCGCCTGTCTAAGTAATCGATCTTCTCCTAACATTTTGCGTCTACTGTGCAAGGCACGTTTGGGTGCACGGTGACTTTTAGATTCGTTAGGTTTTCCCATTTGCTTATGCAATATAAGGGGCCAAATCACCGAATTTGATGTTAGGCTAAACTCGAGGGTCACGTAGTTGTCACTATAAGTCTGCGGGTCTCATAGAGTATGCTTGCGCGTAACATATCAGGCCTTTTTGGCTTCTTTGAGGCGGATCGACGTGTTAGGGCACGACAATCAGGGGTTGACAGAAACGCACTACCAAAGTTGGCAGTTTGCGACAACCTTGTTAGCAGATACAAAAGAAATATCTTAAGCACAACAAGCACACATACGTACGTACGTACGTACGTACGTGCTGCAATAAACTGGTAAAAAGAAGCAACTTTGTTTAGGGGCAATCTTTTTTGATTGACAGGAAGCCATTAGAATAAACTAATATGGATTAATATTGGCCATCAGCGCTGTATAAAACCGAGACTATTAAACGGTGCGAATCAGGCATTGTGTGTCACGACGTTTGAACTTATGCATCCGCCCTCGAATGCGCTAGACATAGGTAATGGAACTACGGCTTTCTTCTTAATAAGAAGCTAAACAACATTACCTTGGTTTTCTTGGACGAAATCAGATCTATTAATAATTTTGTTAGAATATAATTATTGATAATTTTTTTTGAGGAAGACATTTCGGAAATTTTGGAGGAAAAGTTGTAAAGTCGTTTCAGCAAACGCTATTACTTATCAGAGACTCGTTTTCCTGACAGAGTTGACTTAAACGACGCTGTGTCGGTTTGAGATTCAGCAGTTGAATGAATAGCTCATATTCTCCAGGATAAAAATCTGTCAATATACATATAGTAAAGAAATATATTAAGATACTCGTATTGTGCGGGATGACCGTTCGGCCTGGAGCTATTCAATGGGAAACTACACTACTCTTATAGCTATTAGATCGGACTCATGGCATACTGTGCCGTCAGACCTATAACTTTCGCTTAAATGATTTTAGATTAATCTTGACCCTTCCTGGCAATTGAGAACTTTAAGAGAAAGATCGTAATGTACGACCATATTTTAATGAAAAACACTCGACCGCTCCGTTCGATTTAGATACCCATTCACTATTCGATCAGTTGTAACAGTACGACATTGAAACTACTGGCCGCTAGTCGATGTACAATTTTTTTCCTGCTTATTTTTTCCAACCCGTTATACTTTCAGCTTAAACCATAGTCATAGACCATTGCATCTACAAATAGCAACCACCTATGCTATTACGTTTAGCAAGCTTCATTCAAACAATCGGTCAATCAATTAGTTAATTTGACCATACCGATATGCTACAATACCACATCGTTGATCACCCAATATTTGTAGCTGGTCCCTATTTCTATAGTCATGAAAAAAACCCCTGTAGACGTTCCATGAATTTCACTTAGCCTACCGTGTGCCCTTATTTTCGTGCCATAATTGTCATTTTACGTTGATGGGTTCAGACATCCAGAAGCCATAGCAGAAGCACGACAACAAATACAAATATTATTCTTGGGTTTTTCACAGCACGTTTTTCTATATTTGCCTTTCCGTATTGTTTGTGTTCTGACAAAACAACAAGGTAATGTTCATCAGCTGGTTTTTTTCTTTGCGCCTTCATTGCCCTCCTGTAAAAAGAATGAGAGGCAATTATCCCTATAGGCCTTATGCTGGTTTTTCTGTTGATTTCTGCCATCAGCTGGGGTTACAGGGGCGGAGGGGAATTTCACTCCAACGTCGATGTCTTCATATTTGTAGAATATAGGCAGTTTGTTATCCAGCTGGTTTACGCCGATGTCGCGTAGCGTCCTAGCATTTATTCGCATGCTGATGACCGATTAATAATATTGCCAGATGATACGATGTTTGTTTGTTTGTTTATGTGCCCGTTCGTAGGCCCGTCTGCCTTCGTACGATTGGTACTTCTGTCGTCTTTGACATGGCCCTGACATCGAAACACGGCAGGTATGCTGCCAACCCACTGCTACAATTGGGCTGTACTTGCTCGAGTCATAAATGGTTACCCAGCCCGCTGATGCCCAGCTTTGAATGCCCGATTGTCAGCTATTCGTTGCTTACGTTGTTAGAAAAAGCTCG